CAATTAAAAATATTGTTGTCTAGACGATTTCGACATTTCATTACTAATAAGTAATATTCTTTTCGTTTTTTATGCAGCATAGTTGAATTAAATATTTTGTAATACATTTCAAAATACAATTAAAATGTTTTCACATTATTCTATTAAAATATTGTACAATAAGATATATGCATTATATACTTATATAGGTAGTAGGTACCTTCGTAGACTAGCTTATAATAACGTATATACCTATTAGGTACCTAAGTGTACACAATGCGACCGCGGTATAGGCATTGTCATAATATACAATATGTCAATATTATGCTTATACCTAATTGTAGCGTTGATTGCCATATATTGGTTAGCCATAATCAAAATAATACTGATTGATAAATTACATTTATACACTTATTAAAAATCTGAATGAAAATTTGTTTTCCCAATGAAACAAGAATTATTAGTTAAAAATTTTTTATTGAAAATATTGACTCGTGTGGTCGTGCGTAAGTAGGTATATAAACAAATTCCGCTTTTTGTCAGTTTAAGAATTAATAACCAGTATCCACCATTACATATTTACGTGTCGTTTATTACCATGTTATTAGTACAATATTACCAATAAGTTCGATGTCTGTCGTTTAGAGCTCATATTATTATGTACCTATATGTCAGGTCTCGGCAATTAGTATAATGTTGTGGGCATTCTGTAATATTTTTAATGGCTCATTTAAGGGCCGGTCCTATTAGTTCGATTTCGGGGGGTTGTTCAAAAGGTCGCTTCGTCGGAATTCACACATATTATTTTACAATATTTTCGTTTTTTTTTTTTCGTTGGCAATTATTGATTTTGAAAAAAATTAGTAACTTCTTATCGTCGTCAACAATGACGTCATCAGTAATCAGTTGTTAGCTCTTGTGATTTCATTCTACTGGGTATAATAAGTGTGTGTGTGTGTGTGTGTGTGTATAGTGCACTATGCATGCATAGACGTTATTAACTACTATTATAGGCAACGAATGGTGTTTTTTATACGTAAGGAAAATAGGTGGTGTTCAAATAATATCTTTAGCTACGGCGGCGTTGAGAGAGTAATATTTTGACTATTTTTATTTTCTTACAGAGTGTGTATAATTTTTGCAATAATTATACAACACGTATTGCCCTATGTGCTATGGACTTTATACAACTATTTGTGGTGTTATCGTTATTTTCTCGCTTATATTAATAATAATATTATTGAATGTCTCGTTACCCGACAAAACATAATATTATATTCGAGAAATAGTATTCCATAAAAAAACGTACATAATTTTATTAGTATAATACATCTTAAAAATTATTATACAAAATAGAACAAAATTAGTAGATAAAAAATATAATTATAAGTGTAATATTACAGTCTTTCTCAGTTCCCCTCTCCCCTCATTAACATAAATCAATCAAATAAAATGGCTCGTTTCATTTTATGTACATTTGGATTTTGATATCGGGACATTGCCGATAACATAGTACGATGACAAATAGAGACACGAAATACGGTATTTACGGGATACGCGGTTACACATAAAGGGGATGCCCATTGTCAAAGGATCGCTATATTATTTACAGGATTAATTTTATCTGTTTTAGTGTGATGTTTGTTATTTAAATTGTATGCAATTTGCTTCGACCGTTTACAGTTTAATGTGATCACATAAATCTTCGAACTTAATAGATATATAAACTACATAGTTTATTCTCGTTACTTCCAGATAACGACAAAAATAAACTCTTGTCCGATTATAATAGTAGTGTTGTATTATTGCTTATCTAATTCTACATTTTAGAGCTAAAAGTATCGTCATATTAGATAGACATTTCTTAACATTTAATTGTATTATATTGTAATGATAATTATCATACTTTGGTCATTATTAGAATCCTATTAAACATACTGATTTTCGGTCACGTGACGTCATTTTATTTTTAGTAATGTAATAAATTAATTACTAATAATATTATTGATCTCAACTAATATCATATTATGAGAGTTTGATACCTATTGTTTTGTAACACGTTGCTGTTTCAATACTACTATATTAAATATAAATCCAAGATTAAAAAATGGTTTAAAAAATATATATAAAAGGTCTGTATACTATAATATATATTTACATTTCTTTACTATGTATATATGTATAGTATTTTATGTAAATATTGAAAATATATTTTATTTGGTTCCGTCGCTCTTGAAACACTTGTAAGCATCGAGAATGTCTAGAGGATACCGATATTTGTCGTCGATAACAAGTATCGAAGATTTATGAATTAAATCAATGAAAATAACAGACACAATGCGTCGTCTGTATATGGTATTAAAAAATGTAATGTTTAGATCCTATACATAAACAAGCATTCAAAAATAATATTTTTTGTTAAGATCGCAATTTTTGAAGAATAACTTTATTTATACGTGATATTATAACCATAAATATATATGTCTCCAAAGTCTTTGCTTAGCTACATAACAAATTAATTGAAAGACAAATCATTTACCACAGCATTAGTATACCTAAATAACTACCTAATAGTTTTTGAAATTAATAATTTACATTCATTTTATAATCATTTTTAAATAAAAATAACTAAATAAAGTTTTAAACAATTTTCATTTTTATTCATAACCTATTTTGTTATCCGTTTAAAATTGGTTAAAAAACAAATATGAGGAATTTTCGAATAGGTACCTAGGTAGTTCAAAATAATAATTATTTGATATAGTATTATCTATATTAATTCCCATGTAAATATTTTAATTCACGTTTCCTGCATTTTTTTGAAAACACTAAATGATATTAATTATGTTATTAGTCATTACCACTACTGTAGATAGATAAATTCTATCTAAAGCCGTGGTCATTACAAACGTTTTTCCTAGTCTTAAACTACTATCGGATATATTTTGGCTGTCGAATATTTTCTACTGTTATCATAATATTATTACTTATAATATTATATTACATTTGAGCGATTATTGTTTTTTTTTTAATCGTTTTTAGTTTATTCTTTCACATCTGTTGGCTGCAGTTATCAGAATAATCTTTAGTTTATAGGTATATATAGTTTAAGTGGTATATATAATATATTATTATTATAATCTTGTGCTACGTGTGGTGTGTACTGTGTTTTATATGGCATATTATTGTCAATGTTGTCACTTGTTTTTTTTATGAATGTATATGAAAATTTCTTTTCGAACATTTTGGTAGAATGGGACATTTTTAAGGTTGATAATATTATATTACCCCATAATTTAAAAAATGTAATGGAATTTAAAATTATTAATTTTGTTTGTTTTAATTTGTAGTAAAATAAAACAAAACAAAAATATTACCTCTTTATTTATGAAACGGACATAATACTACAAATAAAAACACGGGTAGAACAATAATAATAATATAAGTGAAGGTTCAAGTTTCAATAATAAATTATAAAGTGCATAAGAACTCTGTATCAAATACTTGGATGTTCATTGCAACAATCCAGAGATAAAATTCATTACCTATTATCCAACTGTTGAATAGGTATCCAAAGTATAGTTGGGTCTACGAAAAAATTTCTAATAGGTATTTGTTGATAACAAAACAAACACAAATTAAATACTTTTTATTTTTATGTAGGAATATCTTACCATTTTTCATTAGTTAAATATTAATTATATTTAATGTACGAAAGTATTTAGCCATTAGTTATATAACCTATTTTTTTTTAAAGTTAATTTATAATTCATTTATATTAAACCTATTACTTATTATCAATTTATATATATATTATAGAGGTAGGTGTACATCGCATTATTTGGAATCGTTTTAATGTTTTACCATACTTACAAAAAATAATAACTATTCACACTCAAATACATTTTATTTATGATACGGAGAAATGTCCGCCTTAAAAACGTACTTGGGAAAATATTATAACTTGCGTGTAATATTGTACTGTGCCGATTTGATGTTAAATGTATCTGCTGTGACGTCAGTGGTTAAAAAAGCCATTGCACATTTGCACGTGATGTATCTTTTATGCGTTTCACAGAGTAAAAATTTAAAAAGGGCTCAAGTGTAAATAATAAAAAAATTTCACAACCCGCACTTTGCTCTCGATAATACTCGATACCTGTATACCATAGGTGAGTAACGATCTAAAAAGGTACACCTCTCATATACTCGTATATTATATAGCACTACATACGGCGGCTGCTCGTTATCAGCAACAGGTTGTTGTGTGTGCAGCCGTTAATCGCTTTACTTACTATAATATATTATATTATAATTTATGTGCTCAAACGTGCAAACACAAAAAAAAAAAAAAACAGCTCATCGAAATGAACCAACGAACACCGTAGTCGTGCGTTATTGTTTGCCCCGCGTTAAATATAACATAATATTATATTACATTTACGGGATAACGAGAATATTATTGGTACCCATTACTTAGGTATAATATTATTATATTGTAATTCTATTAACTAATTATATTATTGTGCGTTGAATAGGACGGTACGTTCAATACAATAATAATAATTTATGATTATATATTTTGTCGAACGCATAATAATATGGATATTTTCGATTACATTCACATGCACACACTCGTAACGAATTAGAAATATTATGAAAAACCATTATTAATACCGTTAAAAAAAAATTACAACCATACTTGTGATTAGACATCATCATTAACGCACCTGGCTGGCTTTGACGACCCACTTCGATTTGCATAATATATATTGAATTTCCGTTTAATTCAATTACGAACGTATACCTATTATATTCTATACCTAATGATATTATGCATGTATCTGATTGTGTTTTTATCGTTCATAATAATATCATCATAATATATTATAATACTACCGTCGATTGTGTTTTTAAATAATACCATCGTAATTAATTTGATACTTTACATATTATAATATTATTATTGGCAATTGCTGTTCTCACAAAGTGGTTGTTTCCTTGACCCCCCGACTATTCAGATCTAGAAATAACTCATGAAATCGATTCTCAGTTCTACGTAGCCGAGGTCAAGGATATGGTAAACATTGTCCAAAGGCTCATAGCTGATGGTAAGTTCTCGGGTATTGCAAATTCTAAGTTTTATTTTTTTGTTTCCTATAGTGCCATCTTAGTGCCCGTGCGCATTGGGTTAGTAAAAAAAAATAGAAATTAAACAATTATTATTATTTTCCGAGTATTGTGTGTCGCAACGCTATACGAATCGTCGATCTATTTCTTGGGCGGAGAGGGGTGGAAGGAGGTCCCCGTAGGCCATAAACTAGCTGTGCCGGCAGTTTTCTAGCTCTTTCCCCGCTCCGTGTTCGAGCATATTTTAACCGAAATTTAATGAAGTCATCAAGTTTTAACCGTCTCTCACACAGCGAGTGTAATCCAATATTATTTTGTTTGTTGTGTAATTTGTTCAACGTCTTTCTACAATAACGTATGACTAAAAAATTTTCTTTCCACCCCCCTCCCCATTCCCTACCATCTTGACCAATCCATATACCCGCCCGGGTAACAGGAAGTGCGCCGCTCAGCGAATTTCAGTAAACAATATTCACTCATCGCATTAATTATCACTATATATTATTATAATATTATAAGCGTTTCGCAATCGTTTTTTCTGTATAGCCACTGATGTTATAGTAGTGTGGGAAACATCGGTGGTCATTAGTTCGTAAGTTGAATATTTTAAGTAAACAATTATTTTCGTGTTTCAGGCCATACGTTCAATTCGCCGGAAATCGTTCAGCTAAAACTCGAACCGGGTATTTGGTGAGTTACACATTATTATTATTATTGTTATTATTATTAGGTACCTACCTTTGTAATGGATTTTCATATCTGTAATTTTTAGTTTTAATGCATTCACAAAATATCTCGATCCCTAATTAACAAACACCTATTAAATAATACGGTTATTGGTCTGGGTAAACGATTGTGTTACTTTTTTTAGAAGCTATTGTTGTGACATAACACAGCAATATTATTATCGGCTGTTGTAATACGATCAATTTATTATAATATGGCTCATGAAAATAGATTTAAATTGTCCATTTTGATAGATATGTATTATTTATACGTAACAAGAGCCCAGAGGTCATTTCGTTCATTATTTATTTTTAATAACTGCATATTATATAGTGTCGTAACTATATATAGTATAGTATTTTTGGACCCAAGAGTAACCGAGATTACAATAATTCTCGTATCAAGACAGTAAGCTTTGTGCTCTTAAATAATATATCTGTGATTAGTATGTAGACCCAATAAGTCAGGGTGTCCTCTGCTCCCCCCCCCATCAATCATACGCGATCGCGGCATTATCTAGGTTTTAAAATTACCTCAATAGCACTGTTTTCTATTGAGGACCAAAACATAGTAGAATTTTATTACGATCAATAAAGTTTTGTTAAAACAACGCTAGGCGTGGTTACTAAACTGTCGATAGTTGTCTTCTATTTGTGATATAAATCTAGTTGAGATAATTTAATAATCGTCGCTAAGCTAATTATTTTCTCATTTATACGTTTAGCCGTTCTATTAACAATTATATTGCAATTTGAAATGTGTGTTTTTACTTTGTAATAATATAATATAGTGATTGGATTGTTATTTATTCACATATTTTTGATGGCGAGTTACGTGACCATTCCTTGTAGACTTTTGGTTGTATAATCGTTATTTTTTTTTTAAATCGTGTGTATGTAATGCACATAAAGGTTATACGGATTATGAACGGTTGGAAAAAATATTATAATAATAAAATAGCGATTAACGCCGACAGACTTATAAATCGATCCCATTCGGCTCAACCGATTAATTTAGATAAATATATTCGTAAGACCATTACCGCCGACCGCCGCCGTTACACATAAATATTGATTGATATTATAATTATTGTAATTTATAGGTGCCTACTCGATAATGTTTTCAACCACATGTTTGAGCGTCGGGCGGAAATCGACACCCTTATAGCTGGGCAGTGGCACAACGCGTGCATTTTTTTTCTGTTATCCTTGTCAGGTTGTTATATCGAAAACGGCACAACGGTCATAAATCGTCATTATATAAGATCTACCCATAAATGTTTTTCTTTACAAATTTCCATGCACATGCTTGTCCACCGATATATTGCGCTGTCTCTGTGTCGTCGATTCGTAATCCTGAGGTTATCGGCGTTCCGTTTCGTTCGCGATAAGCCACAATCGCCTATTATGTTATAAATATATTTTTTAAATAATTACTATAAAATTATAACACGGGGGGGGGAAGGGACCATGAGAAAAAACATATTGTATGCGTGTAACTTTTAATTTTTAAATAATGCACATTGTGAGAAATTCTCTACTTATTTTCGCACCCTCTCCCAGCAGTTCTTAATTGTACCTATATAGGTAGTGAAATGAAACATCAACGACGTTGTATTGTGTTAAGTGTATATTCATAGCTAAACTCGAACTTGCAGTAATCGATATTGCGAGGACAAAAGACCAGCACCTATAATTATTCTCAAGGTGTTTGCTGTTTATTTCTTTTTTACTAATTTAGAACTCTATAGGTACCTACTGTCGTTGTAAATACTATGCGCACGTATAGTCACATGACGTTGACACCAGTCACCTGTACTGCTACATTTTCCGTTATCCTTTGGCAATTAATATAATAAGTCTACTACTCGTGTAGGTACCTATATAAACAACATATTTCCCTATGCATATATAAGGGCGTAGAACAATTACATATTAATTTTAAAAGATAAAGCCATTTGCCCAAATTGTATATTGTACGCACTAGTACATGGCTACATTCTACTTACGTATTATTTCTGGGACGTTTCCGACAAATGTGACAATATTTCATATTTTCATATATTGTGTTCACGCATTGTACATAACAATAAACAGGTCTCATTACGAACATACCTGCTGCGCAAACACAAGCGTGAATAGGTAGTACGACTATAAAAAAATAAACCGTATTTTTCGATGAGGGAACAGTTAGGTATATACGATTAAGTATCGTCTGTTTTTACTACCACACGTAGGTAATAGGTATATAATATATTTCTAAACATTTAATTTATTTTAATTTTATGATCATGGTGTTGTGATGTTTAAACGTAACATTCTCAAATTTGTTTTATTGGATTTATTCGTTTTACTTCTTCTTCAAAAATAAATGAACTGTTATATTATATTATTATAGGTAATTTATTTTAAATGTGAGTTTAATATCATATAAATAACCAATTGCCAATCTATATGGGATTTTGTAAGTAAATCATTATATTATTATTATTCACATTATATTGATTCGACACCGAGGTTATCGGTTATAAGTGCGGTACGGATGTTTCACTTTTAATTTTTTTGTTGGATAGCGGGATTAGATAAATCAACCTATTTTGAAACGGTTCTAAATCTTAACACATGTAAAGAACCTGAATTACAATACTCTATTCGTAAAAATAAATGACCTTACCAGAACGGTCTTTTCGATTACGTGCTATTTTAAAGTAGTTCTTTTTTCCGATTGTAACAGCACTTCAAAAGGACTTTTTCGGTTCCAGTTCATCAGTAATCGTAACAATATTGTTCGACGTATATTTCAAAATTAAAATCCAAAGACAAAGTCAAGCTGTATAATTTCGAATTCTAAGTCACGTTAAAAAAATTGTAGAGGCCAAAGGTATTATAAAATAAAAATTATTACTTACTGTAATTGCATATTTCATTTATTAATTTATTATAATTGACTTTTTTATGATAACAATTACTTTGATATGAAATATGTTCCATAATATACTGGTTTTAATGTGTTTTAATCTGACAGGTTTTCAATTTGATAACGTCAATTATTTAAAATATAAAATTATCTTTATGTGTTAGGAAGAACGAACATAAATCTTTGGAGATTTTTAAGACATCAATCAATAGCTTTTAAATGTACTTAAAATCTACTTATAAGTATCTATTTGAACGGAGAAACTCGAGTTTTTATTGAAACGTTAATTATTATTTTTATTGATACTTCACCATTTCAGTATCTCATTTGTAGTCTGTACCTGCAATTAAATGAAAAATTTCCAAAATATTTTGAAAGATATATTATTTTATTATTTCGTGTAATGTACCTAATCGTTCTACTACCAACATTAAGTATAATTCAAATTGGAGTTCAATTTGTCAATAACTACTATTATTTGAACGTTTCGTAAAAAGATAATGATGAGATTTTGTGTAAATACTCAATTAAATGTCAGTTACGATTTCGTTCCTTTCATCAAATTATCGTTTTTATGTTTGAATACTGTGCTAAGTGCTTATTATTATTCCACGAACAAAGATTATTTTTGAAAATGTTCGTTTAATCATTTATTTATATTGTACAATTAATATAATATAAGAATATGGTATGATATATTATTAAACCGATTATAACGCGAACGAGAACACTAATCCTGCGTGTACCCACGACAAGACGTGCCTATTTAATATTTTTAAGAGCCTCCGTTTTTTTGTTTTTAAATAAACTTAATTGATATTTCACAAATACAATATCTCATGATAATTTATAATTGCACCGAAGGTTCTCGACGAGCAAACGTTTTTCTCTGGATATATCCTTAACATTTATCATTAGTATTACAAATTTTTATTTATAGTATTTAGGTAACTTATGCTCACACGGCATTTACGTCGAGTTGTGTGTGCACCCATTTGTCATATGACACGATATTATAATAATTATAATTCATATTATTATTATTATCGTGAAACTCGTCGACATCAACAAGTGTGTGCGTGCTTGCATTCGGCAGCCTGCTGCAGTAGCGCCGCGGTGCGCGCGATCGCACATACACACTCGGTATAATTTTGACAGTTTATTACACACGGCGTTGTACGTATTTTTTTTTGGTTTCGGTTGTTTTCCTCACCCGTCTAATTACAATAATACTAATATATCACCACAATACGAGTAAAAAATTAATTCTCCAAACGTGCGCGTGTGTCGCGCACAAACTCTTCGCACACTATAAACGCTGCGAACGTTAGCCACGAGGCGAACACAATATACACACACTCTTGACTTATGGCGTTGACACGGGCGCAGACGATAAAAAAAAATATAAAAAATACCTTCTGCTCTGTCTCTCTCTCGTTCTGTCTCTCCCCCCGCGCCTATTGTTTTATTTCATTTTTCACTCCTCGAACGCGCGCTCGAGTTATGGTCTCCCTGAAAAAAAAAAAACGCATACCTACAATAAAATACAAGCGCACACACACACATAATATTATAGGTACCTATATGATATTATTATACTTTATATTTTAAATTACCTACACATCCACGAGGAGAGTTTCGACGACATATACCTACTTATAATAATAATGTGATTATGTTTTTCTTATCTCGTTCGAGTGCTGTTTTCACAATTCACGGCCGTATTAGATAAATGTCCTCGGGTCGGTCTCGAAAAAAAAACAAATCATCATATTTTAGTTTCATGGAGATATAGATAATCGTATGTAATGTTTTATTATGCATTATTCACCATGGCGTCGTCGTCGTCGTCGTCGTCGATATTTACGCTGTAATAGTATTATCATTTATCATCAATAATATCATTTTTTTTGACTTTCGATGTTGTCCCCGATTTGAATTTCCGATTGCGACCAGTCCACTATTATAATACGATTACGGTCGATGGGCAAAGGTCAATAGTTGTAAATAGGTTATAAAAAATGCCTATTTCGACGACTTCCCGTCGTCCAACTACTTACCTACCTTCCCCTCTTGCCGCTTTTCCGTTGCGTCTTCGTTTCGTAACTGGGTTATCAATACTCGGTTCGCTCTCCACTCAAATGACGTGTTTCATTGCGTTCTGATTCGTCGTTCAAACGAATCTATAACGAAGCTCGTTTTTCAATTTTTTTTTTTTTATCTATTACTTTTTAATTTATCCATAATAATAATATGTCACAGAAACGTATAGTGTCTAACTATTTATGTTTTGCCGATGGACAAAGCGATATGACGCAAATGCATCTTTTTTTAAGCGATAATATTTAATAGGTAACATACAGTATTTTATAAAAAATAATTGATGTCGATAATAATAATCACAACGACACTGAGCATAGATCTCGAGCAATTAGTGTTTTATATCCATATGTGTATACCGATTTCATTTGAGTATTCGGTATCGCCTCGACGACGACTCTTCTCACTTCTGTAATAATCTATGACGTACCTACTTGTTGTTTTTGTTTACAATAATTATAATATATACGGATTTTTTTTTTTTTTTATAAAACCATTACTTTACTAAGATAATTTTTTCTTTTATTATTGTTTTTCATTATTTTAAACGATAATAAACGTCATTATTATAATTTAAACGATTACTCTTTAATAACTGCTTCAATTGCTTTAATACTATACCTTGTGCCTATCTTGCAGGAATATTTTTTTTAAAACTTGTATTACATAAAAGTTTTGTGATTTTGTACACCATATTACATATATTATTATATAAAACATGTCGTGTGTATGTAAACTATGGCATTGAAATACATACATTTAGATATTTAAATTATATTCAAAAAATCTCTTTATTGGGTGAATACTTTATTTCTCTAAGTAGGTATTAGATGTATATCTTACATTACACATGTTTTATTTAACTTGGTAACAAATATATTGTGATTTATACAATTACACTAGATATGTTATGTATACCTACGAGCATAATTTAAATTGTATTATTGATTTGATTTTGTAGGTAGATAGTTCATTCTTCGAGAATTATCATTGTTTCACCAATTCGATTAACTTCGATTTTTCTCTATAGCTTATGATTTTTAATTATATTTTCAGAATGCTTAGTCTAATTTTTCGATATCACTTTCTACATTAATTAATCAATGAAGTATAAAACAATTTTGATTAAGATGTAATTTTTAATTTAATGTTTATTTTTTATGGTGAATTAAAAATGATGATTTTATAAATTTTTATTTTATTTTACATTTATTTCCTTTGGTTAACCATTTATATTAGGTTTTTATGGCTCCTAAAAACTTCCAAAATCTTAATTTAGCCCTCCAAAAATATTATTTGGTGACCCCAGTATTAAATTATTGGTCTCACTATAGTCAACATCAACAAATCTAACTAATATGTATTTATTTTTTACTTATAGTTGGAAAAATGAAGAAGTAGATAACAATTGTGTAGTCAGAGCAAGAGGTCTTCCGTGGCAATCATCTGATCAAGACATAGCCAAGTTCTTTCGTGGTCTTAATATAGCCAAGTATGTTTAGTTAGAAATTAAAACCTTTATACCGGGTTGCATATACAATGAATAAAAATGTAATAATTTAGTAGGAAGTTAAATAATGGTCCCTTAAACATGATTTAGTGGCCCATTATTACTACATTACATTTTAGTGAACCATTAATCAATTTTTTACGCAACTCAGCATTAAGACCTTAAATAATATGATTTTCACTTTATACAATACATTTTATTTTTGCAGAGGTGGTGTAGCATTGTGTTTAAGTGCGCATGGTCGTCGTAACGGTGAAGCAGTTGTACGTTTTGTGAACCAAGAGCACAGAGACATGGCTATGAAAAGACATAAGCACCATATTGGTAGCCGTTATATTGAAGTGTATAAAGCTAATGGCGAAGACTTCATAAATGTTGCTGGGGGTATGTTAAACTTAAGACATTTTATATGATTAAATAAAAAAATTATTTTATTTTAAATATTTTTTTATTCTTGCAGGTAATAGTAGTGAAGCCCAAACGTTCCTCACCAAGGGTGCCCAAGTAATTGTGCGCATGAGGGGCTTACCTTATGATTGTACAGCTAAAGATGTCGTAAGTTTCAAATACCTACCTAATTTAAAAGACATAAACACTGTACGCCTACTATTACCTACTATTACTTTAATGATTATATTTTTTATATAAATATTAGATTACTTTCTTTGAAAATGGTGAGCAAACTTGTTCTGTAATGGACGGAGAAGATGGTGTTTTATTTGTTAAAAAACCTGATGGACGTGCAACAGGTGATGCGTTTGTTCTATTTGCTGATGAAGATGATGCTCCTAAAGCACTTAGTAAGCACAGAGACCTAATAGGCACGAGGTACATTGAACTATTTAGGAGTACAACAGCTGAAGTACAACAGGTAAACATGTTTAAAATATCTTAAAATAATCAATGCAAAAAAAATAATATTTTTTCTTAAAGTAAAAGTAATAATTTTTTTTTAGAATGAATATAATTACTGTATGTGATTATTAATTCAGAATTTTTCATCTGATGATATATATCACAATGATTATTTAATAATTTACGTATTCATTTTTAGTATGAAAATGTTGTTGTTTTTGCTTTTATTTGTCTAAAATCATGATAACATTTTTTTTTTTAATTTTCCAAGGTTTTGAATCGTGCAATGGACCCATCCGTGCGATCAACAGCTAGTGATAGCAATGGCAACATTACCACCCCAGTAACAACAACAGCTGGAGTAAATAATTCGCCTACTGCACTTCTTGGTCATGTGCCGCTTCTGCCATTGCCTCAGCACGTCATCACTAGTGGCACACGAAAAGACTGTATACGCTTACGTGGACTTCCATATGAAGCAAATGTAGAACATATACTTGAGTTCCTCGGAGAACATTCCAAAAATATTGTATTCCAAGGTGTACATATGGTTTACAACTCTGTGGTAAGTAATATTGATATATAATTTGGTAAAAATGGAAAAATAGAACTAAATTGTACGCTTTGCTTTGAACTAAAAATTATTAGGTAGTCACTTTAAAACTATTTGACTATTCAATATTTTTGTATGCCCATGTATACATAATATACTTATGTATGTTCCATTCAGTTTTCTTTATGACGTGCATTATTTAAATTTCGAATACTGTCCCCCCTAGGGTCATGCATCTGGCGAAGCATTCATTCAAATGAACAACGAGGGCAGTGCTGCTCAGGCAGCAATGGCTAAACATCACAATTATATGTCTTTTGGCAAAAAGCAACGGTACATCGAAGTGTTCCAGTGTTCTGGTGAAGATATGCATCTGGTGTTGACTGGCGGAGGTGCTGCGTCAGGAGCTTTATCCCCAGTAGCTGCCAAAGCGCTATTATCACCACCTGGTATGTTACCTGCACAGCCTCTAATGACCACCAGCCAGGTGGCTAATCCTGGTACCCCAGTCCCCACCCTAATGCCCGCTTGGGATCCAATGTCCGTTTACGCCCAGAATTTAGCCCAAACCCTAGCCCTCCAGCGTGCGGCTGTGGCAGCTGCCCAACAGCAACAACAGCAGCAGCAACAACAACAGGAATCATGGTTGTATCAACTAGCTCAGCATAATCAATTAATCAATCTTGCTATACTCACAAAACAGCAACAAGACATGAACGGTGGCATGGCACAACAGCCTAATATTCAATCTATATTATCTCCGAATGCTGCTCATCATTTGTTGGATAATAGTGCCCAAAATTACATGGCTAAAACTGCAGTTTCACCATATATGTACTTAAATATGCCAAGATTTCCACACAACATGGCGCCTAAGCCTTATGTGCCAGTTTCGGCTGCTGGCGGTCAGTTTGTCATGCCACCAACAGCCAATTCGCCACAAAAACGTTCATGGCAACAAGCATTTCCTGGCGGCCATGAAAGTTCCAATAAACGACAGTTTGCACCACCGTCTGCTTCTGCTGCTGGGCCAATGTTTCAAATGGGCCAAGGCCCTAATGCAGCTGCCGCTGCAGCCGCAGCAGCTGCCATGGCCGCATCGTCCCCTTATCTACAACACCCTGCACAGTTTTATACCATCTAACTTCTTTCCACCACACTGTTTTCCCTCCCTCCAATGTTAATTTGCTGTTGTTAGTTTGGTTATTAGAGCTTATAACCGGGTACATGGTTAGTGGTTAATGGTTACACAAAAATTTGTTTTTATTTTTTTAACATTATCCGTCCTCAGGATTATATATTATATATAGTATATACAAATTGTATATATATATATATATTTATATATACAAAAATACAGACTGCACAAAGCGTACTTAAAGCAATTGAGCTTAAATCATTTACAGGGTACTGAATGAATTTTGTAAATTAATTTTTAACTTTTTTTTTTAGTTACTTTTAATAGATTTTAAGGCTAATTTTAAATTACTAATATGTACTTAAATATTGTTCCCAATTAACTAATGGAATTTATTAGTTTATGGACCACTGTCTATGTGACTCTATTCAGCTCACTAAAATCATTAAATACTTTCACCAAACATTCCTTAAACATCAAAAAGATCCCATTTTATATTATTTTTAATTTAATATCTTATTGTTGTTAGGATTATTTGTTATTTATTTATTTTCGTTTTTCGTCTGTCTTATAGTTTTATAGGCCCTGTTAACCTATTATTATTATTATTATTATTATTTATATTATTATTATTACTTATATTATTATTATTTTAGTTTTTTCCTTGCTTAACTAGGACTAACCTAATGTGTTTAGCTTAAAATCTGTTTTAATGTCATTTGATAAAATGTAATATCATTAGATTATTACTTACCTTTTTTGTTTTAATTAGTTATTTAGGCACTTTTAGACTTTAGACATTTTTAAGTTAAGTAGTTAAATAATTTTATTTTTAAACATTAACACCAGTTACGTTTTGTTCAAAAGTCTCAGGCTTTCGCTATTGATAAATTTATTTCTTCTATATTAATCTGTTTCATACACATTGTGGGATTGTTTTGCGCTTAGATATTATATTATATTAAAAGCTTCATGTGGCCCAATCACGTGTATGGTGATTGAAAGGGAAATTATCTATGAAATAGTAAAATCTACAACCATTAATAATAATCAATCTGTCATTGTGGTAAAATGGTTCTGGGGTTAGTACAAGCTTGGTGTTTTTTTTTTGCATGATCATTACTATATACTTATATCATTGTTAGCACATTTTTTGTTGTTCTGTTCAAATATTTTATTAAACCAATACACATTGTTATCATTGCAATGTCAAACGTATCCATTGCATGCTACATTTGACGTTTACTGTAATATTACTTTACCTTAAAATATATATTTTTTTTAAACACAGTCGGTACTTTGATGAAAAGTACCGTTTAATATTTTTATTTTTCTGAAATCCTTTATACGCAGGGTATAATATATTTTTGAAAATGTTTGGATAATCCTGTTGTTTTACTTGACACCTAAGTCTAACTTATACATTTGAACAGAACAACTGGACCCTATTCCCTGAATTCAATGACCGTGTGGGCAGAAATAAATTTACTGTAGCGGAACCTTGGGATTTGTGTGCTACTAAATATTTTAATATATGCTGTATCTAGATAGCAAATATGAAATGTGTACAAATCTTTTATTGACCCGTTTTTTTTTTGTTTTTTTTTTTTAATATTATGTTACGCATTAATATTAATAATCATAATAATAGACGAATTATTTTTATATAGTAATATAAAATATATCGAAATATTGCCTAACGGAATTTGGTGTTGAAGTCGTATGTTTTATTCTGCTTTTTTTATCTTATTTATTTGTATACGTTGTTGACACCGAACTGACTCTTTTATACAATTGCAAGGGAGACAAGGAAAATGAACAAAGTTCTACTCAGACTTTAGTTTAACTTAACGGTATTTTTTTCTTAAGTGTGTGTAAAAATTAAAAATAATATCGTTATTATTGATTGCACATACCTATACGTATACGAAATGGTGGTTTATGTCTCTGGATTTCAAAAACCTCACGGTATCCGGGAAAATAAAATATTATATTGTGCGGGTGTCGGATTCGAAAGCTGTTATTTCGTTCTTTGGTGACAATCGAACGTTTGTGGTTTAAATGATGGATTTCAGTAGAATAGAATATATGTATGTAATTTATAAATTGTAGAATAAAAAAAACAGCTTTCTAATCGGGCACACGTATATTTTGCTTCTCGGACCTTTGGGTGGTGTGTATACACGTCCGTATTTTTTTTATACATAATATTATAACCCTCTCCCTCTGCCACAACTGTCAACACATCCTATATTGTACTCGAACCAATATAGTAAAACAAAAATTACTAACTAATAAACAACAAATGGATTGGTGATACCAGAGTTCTCCCCGGACTTCCGACCTGATACGACACATACACACACACACACATACATACATACATATTATGATATATTTATATAGTATATTAATATATTATACATATTACATATAGGTACTGATGCATGTAGATTAAAAAAATACGTGGTGGTCAGACGGGTTAGGAAAAAATAAATAGCATTTGTGGGGTTGTGATTGGTGGTGTTTGTGGGTCGTTTGACATCCCTCATAAAATACTATATCGCAACCTATTTATATTACTTGGTGTGAGAGACCTTTGCCCTTGTTTGCTGCCCGTCTAATATCACTCTATCGGGTGAGGACGTGAGGTGTAATGTTATGTTATTATTAATATTATTATACCTATAACAACTACTGTCTGCAGCTTTTTCCAAGCTCCTCTAACAATACCTGTCTGCAGGCGGTCAACATCTGTGGTGCAACGGTACAGGTGGTTGCGCGCAGCGGGTATATGTGGTCATCAGTGGCGCCGAGGTTTTGTTTAAGTCGATATCGTAGGAATACAATTAATCCTACACAAAAATACCCACTCTCTTTTTTTTTAAATATTTTTACATGATATATTATGCTTTATGAGAGACGATGGTACAACCCTCAAAAAAATCTATATTACGTCTTATATAGATCGGCGCCACTGCATGGTCGAACACTTCCTCCGATGGATCACCAACGTGTCACAGTCGTGTCATGAACTGTACTTTTTAAGAGAAATATAAACTTAACAAAATACTCGCTTATTCTAATATATATAGAGGTTTCGTCTGGTCATCAAGAATGGACGCGAAATGTGTGGCGGATCCGCGACTGTATTTGGACGACGGAAAAAAATCGTTCGCTTGACATTTTTTATTTATTTATTTAGACGTATTTTATCATGGCTTATATTATTATTATTATTTTTTTTTATATTTTTTTCTCATTACAAAACGTATTAGATTTAACTACGGTGTTCACACATGTTGTTGGTAAATAAATTTAGAGCACGGGGCGTATAAAAGCAAAATTTATATATTGGTTGCTGGTGATTGGTGGTGTTAATCTTTCCGGTGAGTCCGTTAAACTATATAAATAATTTTTAACATATATTACACATAATATACAATATAGTTTAAGTACATAATATTTTATTTTTTTTTTAAACGCTTATTTCACTTTTCCTTTCGCTTTTTATGTCCGAGGTTTACTGACATTATTTATATATTTTATCATCATCATCCTCCTTAATCCCATTTCCGCGCTTGTTAAAACTTATGATTTTCTTTTTTATATATATATATATACATTATATATTTTCCGAGCTTTTATATTATAATATTATACATCCATCCTTACCGCATACCGGTTTAAAATAACCCTTAACTATAATATAATAAATAATATTATTTAATATTTATATTTATATTTCAGTATAATATGTTATAATATTGTACTTACAAAGTTATGTGTTTTGTGCACACGCAGGCGGACCGCTGATGACTTCTCCGCCGTTCCCGCCACCGACTTCCAACTACTCGCCGTACTCCGGGCCGCCGCCGCTGATAGGCCACCAGCCGCCGCCGTCGCTGGGCGCGCCGTACCCGCCGCCGATCCTCTACTGGCCGTACCCGTCGCCACCCATATCGCCGCCTCACCAACAGCCCGCGTTACTAATCATGCAGGGCACGCCGCCGCCGATGCCGCCCCCGCCGCCCGTGGACATGTGCAATCTCATACACTCCGTGTCCGAGGTAAATCCTATGCCTACCTGTTGCTCTGTAAAATATTTGTCTGTACCTATATGACAGGGGTGGAAATCCAAAACGCGTACTATTGCCAAAATACTGATTTTTCAGGAGAAGCGATTTTCCGTATCTTAACATGATAAAAACAAACCATTTACGCACCCAGACAGATCAATTTGAAAAAAGGTTTCATTTTAAATTATTTAATAACATATTATTTATATTTAAAACTGAATTAAAATTTTTAAAATTAAATATGATCACGTTTTGGCTTAACATAAAAAAAAGTTCGTTTTGATGTATAGTTAATGATTTGTTCCTATTCTTTTAACATGGGCAATAATACATTTTGGCGTACAACTAGAAAAAGTACGTTTTGATTTTCTAAATATCATTTTTATGTATGGAAAAAGTTCGTTTTGAATTAACCAGTCATTTTGAACCGCAGATTTGATCAGGAAATAATACGTTTTGATCTATTCTGACGACGCCAGTCGATGTATCGATATTTTTTCCATAAGAATCGATACCTAACTCGATTTTGTCAATTTTGGCGATAGTACATTTTGGATTTACACCCCTCATATATAGGTCATACTCGTACTAACACTGTCAATGCGTAAAATAATATACAATAGGTAATTTTTTGAGCTTGCTCTCCCCTCCATTTTGCCCTTTAATATTAAACTTTGATGATTTTTATAATTTTCAAGTATAACTATCAATTATGCCTAAAGTTCATGCTTTCAAATTTCTGATATTGTTTGTACTACGCTTGAAGGTCCTGTGGCCTGTGGCGATACAAACTTTTATTTTACTGAGGATTTTCTTGATTTCCTTGATAAATTTGATGTATCTTAATCAACATTCTAATGAGTAGTTTTTGAGTTATTATTATTATGCTTAAACTAAGGATAATAATCCTTGAAAATGGTTTTACAAAAATAAAATATTTAATTTTAGATGTAATATTCATTATACTTGGATCGTTTTTACAAATTATTCATATTTATACATCAATAGTAATTATTAAAATGTTCAATTCATCTAAGTTCTCATAACAACTTAAAGGACTCGATGAAAAATAGTGACTTAGAGCAAACAGCCATGTATAGCTGGAGGAGCTTGGTTTGATGGATTTTAATTTTTGAAAATGGATTATGGAATGATTAACAAATTTACTAGGTTTCCATCAAGTTGGTTTTTAATATTCCAATTATTGTTAGTATCATAATGGCAATGCGTATTAATGTGTTAATTTAATAAATACAAAAATAACATATTTTTATTCATAGATATCACAGCTGAAAAAATAGGTATTCAAAATCGCCTCGATGGAAACCTAGTAAACTTGGTAATAAATGAAAATCAGTTTTAAAAATTGAATTCCGTCAAACCAAATTCCTTCAGTTTTGTCGGGGTTTTTGGTCAAAAATAGAGGAGCCCTCTTAACCCATTACCATATATACATATTGTCCTTAGTACACAAAGTTATATAACTCTAAAAGTGACTAAAACTATTCTCTCGAGTTTAAGATACATCAAAATTCTTAAAAAAATATTTACTGAATAATTAAAAGTTAAATTAGGGGGGGGGGGGGGTTCTTATTTTGAAAAACAGAAGTATGTATTGTTACTGGATCAACCTTAAGTGGTACAAAAAAATCTCAAGTATTCGAAAATATGGTCTTAGAGTGTATGTAAAAATTCCAAAAATCGGAATTTGAATATATATGTATATAATTTCAACATAACAATAGGGCGAGCATGCTTGAGCAATCCCCACTTAATATCTGCAGTGTCGTCACTGGGCTTGGGTGGGTGGGTACCTATGCACTGACGTGTTTTATTATGTTATTTAAATCTTATCTTGCTGTATAAACTCTAAAATATGTTCCTGCACGCTCTATATTCGTTACCTCGTCTCCTCTAAAATCTACTATTGGCTACGTCACTCTTCTTATAGTATCATAATACGAAATATCCTATAGTGTTTGGAATCTCGGATCATATCGTATAGTATTGAAGAAATGTATGGGCGGGACTGCGGGAGTGACCCATATTATACGGGTTTCTAAAGCTTTAAGTCTTCAGGGATATATACAAGTGCGCAACTACTATACAGCACACATATTATTGTTCGTTACGACCACTGACTAGAATGTACCAACTACCTATAATATACATTATACAGTGTTGTACATATAGGGTGTTCCCAAGCAGTAGTTTTTCGGCTTTATATTTAAATATAAACAATGTATTATTAATTATAAATGTTGTAGGTAACCGTGTAAGAAATAAATGCGATATTGTAATATATTCATATACATTAAGGGGCCTCGCAATGGCATTGATTTAAGGAGAATCATTTAGGCAATTTCTAATCTCGTCGTCGCCACCCTAGATCTATGTGTTAGTCGTAAATGATTATTAGTGTGTGTGGCATCCATGCGGGTCAATTGTAGCTCTCGCACGCACTCGCACACACATATCAATATATAATAATATTGTGATCATGAAAAAATGCTTATTTTTCACTTAAACATACGATTCTAATTCCAACAGTACGTCGCAACGATTACCTCAATTTTCATTCTGACAAAATATTCTTATTTTCCACAACATGTACGAGGCACATTTTAGATTCTGAGCGGAGCGATGAATGTATTGGTTTTACAATGATGTATGTTTTTATATTTTTATATTTTTATTTATATTTTTGTGTCTGTCATCACGTTTTAGGACAGTAAAAGTGCTTGGATTTTCTTCATCAGTAGCTTTTCTGATAGGAAAGTGAATCTAGTTGGTACTTTGGGGGGTCAAAAGTAAACATTTTCCAGTAGTTTTCACAAGCGCCGGGAAAAACAACATAAAAATTAAGGAAAAACGGGAATTTTTACGCAAAATTGGTTTTCCAAAAAATCGATTTTGGTTATTGGTGTAACTCTAAAACAAATGAACGTATAATCATGAAATTTTCAATGGTTGTTTATATTTGCATTTTCTATACACGATAACATTTTCAAAATATTTTGATTTATTTTGAACTGTTTAGGGACATTTTCATTTTCCATTTTTTTTTAGTTTTTTTTCTAAAAATATCAATAAAATTTTATTTATTGGTTGCGAAAGCTTGAAAATTTAATAGAAGGCTCCTAATATGTTGTTTCAAAGGCAGATGAAAAATATTAAAAATCCTTAATCACAATTTTTTTTTATAAGCATTTAAAGTTCAAAAATTGACAAAATATGGAAAAATCACGAAAATTAGCAAATTATTTTGAGTTAAGAATTCGTAAAAATTTTTCTTTTTAAATCTAAGATTTGAAAATGAAACACAAGATTCCTTAGAAGATTATCTACCTTTATCAATAAAAAAATCTCTACCGGACAGTCAAATTAAATTTTTATGAGCGTTTGAAATTCAAATTTTTACAACATTGGATTTTCACTCGATTTCTCATGTAGCGATTTCCTTATTTTGTTGTAATTCAAAAACGAATAACTGTAGATACATGAAAATTTCACTGAATGTTTATATTAGCATTTCCTATACACCATACAATTTTGAAAATATTTTGACTCTTTTTGAGCTGTTTATGGACATTTACAGCTTTCAATTTTTTTTAGTTTTTTTTTCTATAAATATCAATAAAGTTTTATCTGTTGGGCCAAAAAGTGTAAAAATTTAATACAAGGCTCCTGATATATTGTTACAATATCAGTTGAAAAATATTAAAAATACATAGGCACGATTTTTTTTTATAAGCATTTAAAGTTGGAATTTTGACAAAATTTATCAAAATCTCGAAAATTATCAATCGTTGGAATTAAAAAATTATAAAATGTTCAGTTTTTATAACTAAGAGTTGAAAATTTAAAACAAAGATTCTCTTAAATAATTCATACTGTAACCAAAAAATCTAAAAAGTATATAAACACACTTATTTTTTACAGACATTTTAATTTCAAATTTAGACAAAATTTCATATTTAAACCAAGAATTACGATTTTAGTTATTTTGTTGTGATTGTATAATATTATTCGTGGGTACTTGAAATTTCTAAAGTAATCTACTATATATCTATGATAGTATCAGGGTTTGTTGTTGGTGTATAACGCGTTATATGTACCTAATGGATATTGTGATATGTTTAATTTGGAATTCATTATAGGTCAATTTTTTTTATTACCATAGATATGTATATAATATGTCTTATACCTAGAAGGACATACCGTCTCCGCTCAGAATCGTTTTTCTTATACAATGATATTATATCATTGAATTCAAATTTAATACCATCCATTATACAATGACCCACTTGTAACCTACTGTACAGCAGAGCGACACCCACTTGCCCACCTTTTTTTTAAAATTGTATTTAGTTAATTAAATATTTAAGTTGGAAATTCTGTATTTTTTTTGATTTTTTTACAATTTTTATTGCAATTTAAATTACAAAAATTAAAAATGTGGCTCGATCGTTCTCTTGTATATATTACGGACAATCAGAATATCTTTTCAGAATGAAAATCGTGATAATTGTCGACACGTATCGTTGGAATTAGAAACAGTAGTTTTTGACAAAAAAAAGACTTGGTAGTGAGGCCCCTTAATTCTATATTTCTATATATTACCTGTAACCTATATGATCGGTGCTATGCGCCCAATAATTCACACTTAATCATTATAACAGGTTTATATTATATTATATGTGTATAACTAGTGCTAGTCTCTTAGAATGTAGTAGTTTTCTAATGATCTTTTATTTGGAATTTCGGAAATATCTCATGAATTAGCTTACAAGTAGCCACACAAATATGATGGGTGGATTATAATAATATGATTAAAGTTTTGTCGCTGCACTACGGTCTACAGTGCAAGTTCAGATAAGAAGCTTAGAGTTCAGATCAAGTTCAGATATAAGTTCCGTGTTATTATTTGAGCCCCCTATATAGACATAATAAATTAACCAATCGTATGATAATATTTTTCAACTGCTGCGGGACACTAAAACACTTCAAATATTACCATGTAATACAAATAATAGGTATACTCCACAGTCATGGATCCGGAATCGGCTCTTGACGAACTGAATATCGTGTCGCCAGTTTCTTAGTATGACTCTGAAAGTTTGTGAATGTATAATATAATCCAAACTATTTTTTTTTTTTTTTTTTTGATCATTGAGCCCTGCAACTATGCCCATTAGCTGTTTGTTTGTAGGGGAGGGTACTGTAGGTTGGTTACTGTAGGGGTGGGTACTGTAGGTTAGGTAACCTAACCTAACCAGTTTTGGCAAAACTTCAAATTGGACACCTGTAAGTTTCTGCCATGCTCTCTCTCTCTCTCTCTCTCTCTAGACAGTTGCCTACCCAGAGGGAGAAAAGCCGCCCTTGGTCGAGATTCGAACCTCCCACTCCGTCCCCCCCCCACACACAAACTATTATGTATTTTAGATTTTGATTGAAACGATAAATCAAGTATGCTAACTAATTATGTTTTTTTGTTCGAATCGTTATTTTCAGTGGAACATCGATTACATGCAACAGAATCCTCAATTTTGCACAATGAACGTAGGTATGTTTGTATAGAATATAAATATATTTTTTTAGTTGTATATCCGACCTTTACAGTGGCGTGTCTCATCAAAAAAATTGGTGTTGCTCAAATAATTTTAGTTGACCTACCCCTCATAATACGCTGTTATACCGACCTATACGATTTCCTATTTTTCTTCTATCATCAAACACCCATCCACCCACCCACATTTAAGGTGTTGTCTGAGCAACACTTGGACCCTGCGTTACACGCCACTGGACCTTTATAACAATACTATGGTTATAACATAGTATTATTATCTACGGCCCATTTCCACCTCACCCCAACGACGACGACGAGCGATCGGAGGTTAATAATATTATTAAAACCAAACATTTTACAGGTCCGATGGGCATGCACTCGGCTGCGGCTTGACGCGACGCGAAACAACGGTCGGCGGCAACCGACGACGTGCGATCGTCACAACAACAACAACAACGACGACGTCGTCGTTGTCGTCGATGACCGGTCTAATTATTCAAAGTCACAACAACGATGACCGTACTACAAATAATTGTGCAAAGTACAAACGGCCGAGTACTTAACGTGTTTGTAATATATAAATAGTAATGTTTGTATTTATTTATTTATAACTTTATATAATATTATGTTATATATACAGAGCGAGAGATATTTCTATTAGATTTAAGACTGTACATAATATATATATATATAGAAACTTAGACGGAAAAAAAAATAGTATACATAATAATATATTATAATTAATATAGTCGAGATAACTCCTCGACCTTAGAAAGCCAACAAATATCATAAAGTCGTCTTCCGCCGCGAGTATTATATTAGAGACGGAGAAATAGTATACTCGCCTAATCCTCGTCAATAATATTATTGTTGGTCACGTGTACATAACAATACAATTTAATGATATATACATAATATTATTTACTATCTTATCGAAAGTTTGTAAGTCGAATTTCTATGTTTTGTGTGAATTATTAACGTATAATATGTTTTCAATGTGATTTTTATTATTTTTACCAATTTAGTATTCTTTTTACGAACTTTACTCGTTTGTATATTCAATTCTTAAATGACACAATAATATATATTAACATGCTTGCCCGAAAGTACTTACTTATTTCTTAGATTTTTATTTTTTTCGAATATCAACCCATCATATTTCTCATTTCGTATTCTGAAGTAGATTGTTTTCTGAACATTTTAGAACATGAAATCCGAAATACTGGACTAAAGTCAAAAAAAAATTATGAAAATAATATTTTTTCACAAACTCGTCGACTGCGAAAACCCGTGTAACATGTCTTAAAATTAAAAAAATTCACTTTGTATGACACAAAATATATCGAGTGCTACACGTAACAATTTAATAATGACTGGTGTGTGGACGTTATTCTTGTAAATTGCGTCAATGTCATTTTCTAATTTGACGCACATAATACAACTCTAGCACATTTGTATTACAGTTAGATTATATTTTAATATAATATATTATTATAATACAATATATCGATGCGATCGGATTTATTCGGTTTATAAAAAAATTATTCCTCACGTTCTTCATCGCGTTTTCTTAATCATATATAAACAAGCAACGGTTTTTGAAAATATTTTTTTTTCGTTTATACGCCCTCGCATTGTCATTAGTCAAGTCCTATATAACGACCAAATTTGTTTATTAGTATTATTAATATTTTTTTTTTTTCGTAGGAATTAGTGAGATTAATTTATTATATTCGTTTCATTATAAGTGCGGTTTGAATGCTTATAGAAAAGAAACGCACACATTTTAACTTATGACGATAACTTGCGGTAAGCCTCCGAAGTTATCACGTTATATACCTAGGTACCGCAACTATAATAATAATATTATGTTAGGTTTATGAATCTATTTTGGTTTAAAATTTAAACATTCGGTTGTACGATCTCTAGTATTCTTTATGCTCGACAAAACATAACGAAAACAATATTATAATTATATAGTATTGTAATGATATATGATATATGATATATTTTTTTTAACATTATAAAATGTTTTGTGCAATTTAATTTAATTTATTTCCAAGTAGATCTCAAAAAAGTAGACGTTTTGACAATTTTTTTAATTAAATTAATCTCGAATGATGTATATCTTATGCTTTAGTCCTCCTCCGGATGAACGAATTTTCAACACGATAATGATACATTCTACCCGGCCATCCATCTTAATAATATAAACAATTATAATATTACGATTGCTTTCTACTATAATAGTTTCGTATTTTTCGCTTATACTTAGGAGGTGCGTTTATTGAAATAAATTACTACATACCTCCCCTGTACCGTCAAGGCCGCACAATATTATAGGTAATATATATATATATATAATATAAAATAATAATGTACATCGACAATGTTCCAAAAATGTGTATACGGTTTTGTTTTTTTTTTTTTATATATATAATTTTCATAATATTATTATCGTTATTAAATATTATTTATAAAAAAAATATTATTCTATGAAGTGTGACAAAGTCTTCAGTAATTTTAAAGCGAAACAGTTAAACTCGACAAAGTGTCAGCCTTTACATAACGTTATATACAATTATTATAAGTCTCGTGTTAATGTCTATAATATGTAATCGTAACGTGTATATATTATATACATGGGTTTCAAACTTTCAGAAATAAATACGAATAATAATATATACCACTCAAGTCGCAATAAATTAGTCAAAAAAGAGAGATGGATATCGTTTAATCTCTAACATTTATGGATGTATAGGTACTATTTGTGAAACTCGGAATATTTTATATTTATTGTGAAAACCATCCGATTATCGGCTAAAACCATGTCAATTATACCCGAAAAACAATCACGATGACTATATATATTGTTTCGCCATTTGGCTTCAATAAATTCCTTTTGCCAATCGAAGAAATGAGCGATTTTTCGTTGTACAAATGTACAATGTTTTGTATATAGTTTAATAATATTATAATAAAATTTTGTCCGTTGAACAATAAAAAAATTTACGATGATGTCGAGTAATAGTGTTTCTCCAGTTTGGCATTTGCGACTAAACATGTTACTATAATTTAGTAATCGAATTTTTTTATTATTACAACCCTTAGCTCGTATACTCATACGGTGTATGACCTCTGTAAGTTACTACGTATTTTACTTTGCTCGACGTCTCTCTGACTTTGAAATGATTCAATGTCGTGCATTAACATTATTACGATTCTACTATTGTTTCGTTCGATTAGATGTATAATATAATACGATATGGTTAAGAATAATATATAGACCAAAATAATAATGTATGCTGCTATCTGTGTTTTTGTAGTGCAATAATATATAATAATCGTTGAATATTATAATATATATACCCGTGTTGTTAATTAATTATACATTATTACTATTTTTACGTTATAGTTGTAGTGTTTAAAAATTAAATTATACATAAAAATTAAATTTGTGTGTGTGTGTGCGTGTGTGAAAACAATGTTTAATTATTTTGTAACCTAGAAATTGTGATTCACTTCACATATTATTTTAAAGTCTACTTATTATCTGGTATAGTGCGTAGTTTTTTTTATGGTTGACCGTAGATCAACCCCTTTGTATTTAAGTCGTCTCCAGTCCCTTTTAGTCAATTATAATATTATTATTATTATTATTATTATTATATACATGAAAATTAAGTGTACGTACATATAATAATATATGTTTTTTAGTTAATTATTATAGTTTCAATTTTATTATTATTATTATTAATACCTACCTAATTGTACACCTAATCGCCGTCTAGTACGCCAGTACTTGTATGACATTATTAATATTAAATTTTTGTTTTAATTTAAATACAATATATATTATATTATTATAGACCTTTGAAAAAAACATTTCATGTGCGTTTTATATCTTTTGTTTTTAAACCTTGAGCCTTATATATTCCATTTTTGACCTTTACTCAACGACGACATCGCTTGCAATGCTATCACACAATATGTACCAGCCTTATAACGATAGGTGGTAGACTCGATACTCCTTAAGAGGACGCCACACCCACATGTGTTGTCTCCGTCTTACAAATGTACAACATAGCAAAAACTCTTTTGCGAGGGACAACTTTTCTCGCACCATATTTGTTGTAGAACTACCAAATTTTCACAGCACTTAAAGAAGAACTTAATCTGTGCAACAGCGTGCTCTTTTTTTCAATAGCACCATCCAATCATTTTTTATAAGCAAATTAAAAAACCAAATGTTTAGAAGCAAATAACTTGTATTGTATATATGTTATTGAAAAAAATAGCACGCTGTTGCACAGATAAAGTTCTTCTTTAAGTGCTGTGAAAATTTGGTAGTTCTACAACAAATATGGTGCGAAAAAAGTTGTCCCTCGCAAAAGAGTTTTTGCTATGTTGTACATTTGTAAGACGGAGACAACACATGCGGGTGTGGCGTCCTCTTAACAATGTATGTATCTTCTTAAAAAAAATTGAACTTTTCATTATTATTTTACAAGAATTTTGAATTGAAGAGAAAACCACCAGACGTCGAGCTGCTGCTGCTGCTGCAGGTATATAAACCATTTACTGATTTTTATAACTCAGTTAAGTTATAATCTATGCACCAATAACAAAAAAATTAAAAGTTATAAGTTAATTTAACTATATCTATATGTTAATACTCAGTTAAGTTAAAAGTTAATACACACAGCTATAGTGTACTTAATTTTTTCCAACCCAAAACTGAATTATAGACTATAGTACTTTAAACAGTATATCCATATAAGTTGGATTCAAATGATATACATTTTCAACTTTAAACAATTCACGGTAAATATGATTTGACGTGAAAACGAAATAGGCTGAAACATTGAATTATAATCAAATTACAAATTAAATAAATTAACTTAACTATGACTTCTTAAAACGAAAAGTGAATTCGTTAATTTCAAGGTTAATTAAAAAATAAATTAACAGTCAAGTTAATGAAAAGCCAAAAATAACTAGTTAAGTTAAAAAGTTGAAATAAAATAAACTTCTTAACCTAACTTAAACTTTTTAACTTAAGGCTGGCCTTGTCATTAACCATAATAACAACCATCGGAATTTTACAGACTGCAGTCTATGTATAATAAACGAAGAAATATTTTGTTGTTGGTATAAAAAATTTAGGTAATTTCCCCACTACGTCTAAGTCATGGGCGGGTCGAGTCCATCAACCGTCGATGTAGTGGCCTGCAGGCCCTTATTTGTAGACGATTGTCCGAAGTCGTCTTCGTGTCTTTCGCGGTCGACGTCGTCACCGGCGCTGTTGTTCTGCTCGATCGACAAGTATTCGGCCATCAGCGATTCGATCTGTTCGTGGGCCACTCGGAACTCGTCGGAATCCATGCCCTCTTCCATGTACAGGTGTAACAGCTCCCGCTTGGCCAACATGGACGTGGACCGCCGGAAGTACCGTTCGAACACGTCCCGCACCGCCGTCGTGTTGGCCACTACCGTGCCGCTGTTCTTGAGCCCGTGCGACGGTACACCGTAACTGGCCGTCTTGAGGTTGTCCGGCAGCCAACAATGTTCCGGGTCCGTGGTCCGTCCCGTGCAAGGCTGCAGTGGCACGTCGCCACCGCGAGGCGCGAAACTTCGGCCCCGAAACGTCATGACGGCGGCCATCACGACGGCCTCGGCGGCGCCGGCGCAACGCCGCTGCAGCCGCACCGCTTCGAACAGCTGCTTGGCCAGCTCGGAAACGGTGTACGCGCACGCGTCCGTTTGTCCGCGGAACGTGAGCGGCGCGAACCCCGGCACGAAGAAGTGATGTCTCGGGTACAGCACCAGGTTGGCGGTGCACTTTTTCATGTCGGCGTTCAGCCGGCCGGCGAACCGCAGCCCGGTCGTGGTGCCGGACATGATCTGCGTCACCAGGTGGTTGAGATCTGCGTACGCGGGTGCGGCGCGCGCGCCACCGGCCCCTGCACCGCTGCAGCACGCGTCGAACAGCGCCCGGTTGTCGGCCAGATACGTGGCGCGCGAGCACCCGATAAGCCTGGCCAACGACAGCGACGCGTTGTACGACTCGGCCGGCTCGTCCGACACGGCCGTCCACGGCGCCACGCTGTACGTGTGCGCCGCCCGGTTCGGGTACGACGCTCGGACGTTCTTCAGCACGCGGCCGCCCAGACCGGAACCGGTTCCGCCGCCCAGCGAGTGCACCAACTGGAACCCTTGGAGCCGATCGCACCGTTCCGCTTCCGACCGGACCGCGTCCGCGACGCGTTTCGACATCTCGCCGCCACCGTAATAGCCCTTTGCCCAGTTACTTCCGGTTCCGCCATGTCCGCCCACAAAGTTTTCCTTCCGGTACGCGTTTCCGCCACCCTGCCGCCCGCCGATCGTGTTCAACAAACTCGAATCGGAGTCCACCAGCACCGCGCGAGGCACGTACACTCCACCTGCGCCGTTCAATAAATTCATTGTATAATTTTAGTAATTTTAGGGATTTCGTTGTAATGCCCATTCATATGGGCGTCGGACCCGGTGCGTTTTTTAGTACGAAAACATGTCTTACAGGAAAAAATCTCAGGGACCTGTAGAATCGGTAAAGCACGATTGAGCATATACCTTTTTAGCAACACGATTGAGCACAGAATATTTTATGCGATGTTGCCACATTTACGTGGCCGAAATTTTGTAATTTATTATTTTCACATATTATTAGGATACCAGACGCGAGTCGTGAGCTGAGCCCAGCTTTGTCGAAAATGTTATTGGTTAATAAATTAGTTCCGGAGCAATAGAGTTCCGAAGTTTTAAAAATTTAAAATTAAAGGTAAACATAAGATTATAAATTAAGATACAATTCCAAGATTATCATTTAAATAACATCAGTGTTCGATCACCCATACTCTATAGTATTCTTGACTTATAAAGTTATAAACCATGCAGTATTTTTTTTAATTCGTATCATATTTTGATTTTATTATTTTCATAATTATTATCATCATTATCATTATTATTATGTAATTTTTTTGATATATTATATTTTGAATCATAATAGTTATTTAAATAAATCTTTTTGTATAATATAGTTTAAAATGGAAAATGGCAACGTTTTTTATGCTCAATCGTGTCTCAGCCCTGTAGAATATAGTCGGATTTTTTGTTTAAAAAAAGAGAACATTTTTCATGTCGGATCAAAGCCCGATTTTCAAAATTATAATTATAGAAGCTATAATGTGCATTTGAAAAATGTACAATATTTGTTCATTTTCAAACGTATTTTTCTACCACTATTTAAAGTAAAATGAAATAGCAGCATTTAATCTGACCTAAAAAATGTTCTCTTCTCTTAAATAAAAAAAAAAAATGATCAAAATCTGACTACTCTACAATAGGTGAGAGTTTTTCTCGGGAAGTAATTTTCGTTGATATAATACACCGTGTCGATCCCCCCCCTCAAAACCGTAGCCAAGGGGTGGTGGGGTTCAGACCCCCCCTCGATTTTTTATTTTTGAAATAAGATTGAATAGTTTTAAATGCCTATTATATTTGAAACTTGTTCATGTGTCACTGTGATTACAAGACACAATAAATAAAACGGTATATTTTATATTTATATTGTGTTAGATAACTATAATCTTAATGTACTTTCGTAAAACCACTGTTTGAAGAACCAGAGTTCTATAGAGAACAAGAGTTAGAAAACCACCATAATAGTGACTCTTTGTCTAAATCTTTACAATTACTCAATGATATTATTAAAAGCGAGTTTGTTATTAGTTTAAACGTAGCAGGTGAATTATTTTCTCTGACTTGGCCTCTTTGCCTAGTTTTGCAAAAAGTTAATTGCGATCTCAATGAAGCACGCGAACCCACCTAAATAGGTATCCAGCTAGTAGAAAAGTATTATAATTAAGGTATAGTAACTAAAATATAAAATATAATTTTCAAATCGTATATAAATTTTGGAAAATTGGAAAAACCGACTCCGACACCCTAATATGTAAAACACTTACACAGCTGTACAGATACAAAAAAGTAAGTGTCTGCATATCAAATACATATTATCAATTATTGATGGCCGGCATAACTTGAGGCGAAATATTATATATATGTTACCGTCAATGTCGTAAATTCAGGTAATGATGATAATATTGACTAGCCAATTAATATAATGCCTTGGTAACTTGGTCATTGTCTATAATAAACATATATTTGTAACATTGACTTGATAAATCAGACGATGTTATAATTTGATAGATTCACTAGTTACTATAACATATCCTATCTTCTTGTAGTCAATGTTATCTTTTATCGTTTTAACTTTAAAAAACCCACGTTAAGATTAATTATCTGTTTTATAACGAATAATAATAGGTATCTTTTATAGTATTAATACTCACGGCAACTAACCTATAACATAAGTATTGTTACAGTCTACGTTGTACTTTTGTATAATATAGTTTATAGTTTCGTATAGTTTTTCGTTTCGAAGTGTTGAATTGTTTTATTAAAAAAATGAATTCAAATGAAATGCGTCAAAAATTTTACAACGCATTATCTGATTTATTGAAAAATAAACGTGAAGATAATATATCATTTTTAATCAAAGAGGAATATATTATGTTTCTTATATTTTTTTTTTTCATTGTTTTTTCTTAAATAGTAAATATAATAATATATTATATCTAAAATTATCAATGGCTACATAGTTTTAGTCAATAATGACAATGACTGCTCAATCATAGAAATTATGTATTAATATTAAATTTGTTCTATTATTGTCTATCTTAGTTAGGTATTCTCTAAAATGACTAGCCAATAATATCAATGCCTATGTAAAACAGTCAGTGTTAACATAGACTAGTCATTTTTAACAATACCTAATTATCATCATTGGCGGTAGCATATATATATATATATAGGGGACAACCCTATGACCATATTAGAAAACCGTTTTTCACATAATATTTAGGTAGATTGAAAAACTTACGTGTCGACCAGACCGATTTGTCAAGTTCATTGTGGTAGTAGTAAAAAATTTTTTTTATTTTTAGAATCGTTTATTATTAGGTAGGTATATTATATAATGGTGACGCCAACACGAGAGTAAAAAATGTTCAGTACTTTTAGAAAAAATCGGAAGCACCAGAAAAAAGGTAAGGTAATGTTTACCCAAAGTCGGTTTATTTTTTGTGTACCTAACTCAAAATGTATAAATACTTAAAATTTTTACCAAATGTTTATATTGCCATTTTCTAAATAGAAATGAATAGAATGTTTTTAAGATATAGCACCTTGGGACTTTATTGACTTATGAAAACTTGCAAGTTTTATATAATCCTACAGAGTATATCACGTAAAATGTGATTGGATAATTTTTGAAAATTCAATAAGTCGTAAACAATTCTTATATTGGCTCCAATTGTGATTGTTATAATGTTATTGACATTGAAATCTGCACATAAGACGTAGCTACAGTAATTTTACCTTTGGATTCATCGTAATACACATTTATGCGCTCCAACTGCTCGTCTGCTGAATAACCGGAAAATTTACCTTGCTCGTCAAGTCCATGTTCGTTAGATATGGTTTTCCAAAACTATAAAATATTATAAAAAATGTCATCGTTACAAATATAACTGATCGATTATTTAACACCAACCGACAACCAGCCGATACAAAAAAAATTGTACGACTTGGGCACAATAAACTTCAGGGCCGGACTGGGCGGGAGTTTCCCGGTGGGTCGCTTGTTTGGATTGGGCCTCTTGTACTCTTAGGGACTTTTTTTTTTTTTTAGGTTTATCGGTTAAGGCTGATCCCGTCGACAGACATAGACGCATTTTCCAATGCGATTGTATTAGAAAACTATTTAGAGTTAAGGAAATTTCAGATATGAAAAAATTTATAAATATTGTTCAAAATAGATGCTTGTGTGTTGTGTCATATTATTGTCTTCGTCAATCCCTACTTTATCATAACGCACGTCTGCACCTCTTAAAATGTGCGACGATTGAACGGTTTTTAAGGGAGGGCTCGAGTCAGTTTTGGACATTTTCAGTTTATACATTAATTCTGTGTGAAATGTCAAGCCGCGCTGAATAATGGTACCAATGTAGATGCCATGTGGGATTTGGTTTACGAGCTAAAATAGAATGCGTATGGTAATAGGTAAGTCATTCTAAAGAATATTTTTTATGAGAAAAGGCCTAAGTCACTAATTTTTTTTTTTTTTTTTATTGCTAGTAGTAAGTAGTAGACAAATGTGTACAAGTGTATGGTTACATATCACATATGGATTAACTAGCTTTGCTCTACACTGAGGTAATACCTCTTATCGTAGAGCAAGAATACTAATCTAGATGAAATTAAATAAAAAATTAAATTTAGAATAATGAAAAAAAAAAAAATTCACAATTTGTTATGATATATAAGAAATACAATCTAACTTATGAGTACATTATAATTAATAACAAACATGATTTATAACAAAATTTTAAACATTGAATATAAAAAAAAGGCAGGTAAGTGGATGTCGCTCAGCTGTACAGTAGGTTACAAGTTGGTCATTGTTTAATGGATTGTATTAAACTTGAATTCAATGATATAATATCATTGTATAAGAAAAACGATTCTGAACGGAGACGGTTTGTCAGTCTGTATATTTTATATTGTCATTAATTATTATAACATGTAAGTTGTTTTAATTTAATTTAAAACAGGTTAATGATACATGTTAATAATTTATGATATTTATATAGATAATACCTACCTATTTTTTTTTTTTATTCGTTGCTACGGTGATAAACAAATTGTTAGAAATTAAAATCCCATTTTAAGCGGTTTTTCAGTACTTTTTCCCGTGGCATTAAATAACTATTGAGAAAATCGAAAAATGACTTCTCTAAAGTACCATCTTGGTCCAATTTGCTAAAAGATAAGGTACTATATGTTGAAATCAAAGCACTCCTTCTGGTAGAAATTTTGTATACAGGATATAAAAATGAAAAAAAAATAAAAAAAATAAACACCATTGTAAAACCACTAGCTTCCTTGCTCCGCTCAGAATCTAAAATTGCAAACTAAGCTGTGTAGATAAATAGGTTTTTAAGCATAATATTTCTCATAAAATATAATAGATTTGAATTATAAAAATACTTTTACAGATTATAATAAAACCAATTTTTTAGTTTGTATTTAAAATTCGGATTATTTAAACACTTTCTCAATTCATCCGGGATGATATCTAATTATAACTTATTTTAATGACAAAGGGCATAAGTCTCATAAAACTACAAGCAATAGATCTTAAGTCGTGATGCGAAAGGATCTCAAGTCAAACTGGTATATGCAATAGGTCTGCTTATGTCATTATAATTTGAAGAAAATAAATAAAAACTAAAATATATTTAATAGTAAAATAACAAAATACTTAACCGTCCAATTATCATCACACAAACTCCCACCTATTC